ATCTATGTAATACAATAGTTTAGAAAGTGTTGTATACATAAAAAGTATAATTTGTTCTTGATTATATGGCACATGAAGTAGATTTTCTTTAAAAAAATGCCTTTCTCGGTTTTATAAAGAGATTGGGAATCCAATTTCTAACATCAGGAATCAATCCCCCCGTTGAAGTTTACATGAGATGTTTCTATGAGGGAAACAAGTCTGATAATAACCAAGCATTAGGTACCTTTTCATCCTCCCTCGCTCTACTTGTACTCAGTGATTCGTCTTACACTATGATTCGATTTTATCTAAAATCCCTTTATTGGAAACCACAGTTTTACTGAATATAAGAAGCAAATAGTTGACAATTTACACGAGTAAGTCTCAACTGGATAGGGTTGGGAATTGGGGAGTTTGCCTCCCGAGGGACATGTGTCATGTCTAGAGACTGTGTGTGTCATAACAGAGGGAAGAACTCCAATGGGTACCGAGAGGATGCTACTAAACATCCCATAGTACAAAGGAGAGCCTCTCATAACAAAGAGGAATGCAGCACAGGGTGTCCATCGTAACCAGGATGGGAAACACCTGGTAAAGTGATGTTACAAAACACATACATGGCTGAGTTAGGACCGTACAGACCCTAATTCATTAAGGAAGGAAATAGGAGCATTAGCACGTTTATCAGTCAAAATCAATCAAATAAATGTAAAAATACTTTCTAAATAAACTTCTTATGTCTATCTACCTCCTTCCCAATAGTTAATTTGTTCAAATAAATTTTAGTACAATTTTTGTGAAATTGGGGTATAGTTCTCCTGTCATAATCTCTGAGTCCATTGTAATTTGCCATTAGCCTTTTTTTTTTATGCACCTGGCAGATACACAGAGCTCAAAAAGGACTTTAAGGACGATACTGTTAAAGTATTGGTGCAATAAATAGCAATCAACCATGCTTAATTACAACAGGTAAAAATGGACTCCATTTCTCATTCTATATTCTATTCTATTTGTTATTCTTCTGCTTGAAATGTGATAGCAGAATCTGAACTTTCCACCAATTCCAATGTCTATATATAGCAAAGAGAAGGATTCCTCTGAACTTGAATGTCCATTTATACAGAAAAATATTCATCATTAATGTGGTCAAATTACCTTTTTTTTTTTTTTAGTTAGAAATAAAAAGTTACTTATGTAGTTCTGAAGTTGTGCCAGAATCTGTTTTCAGAGCAACTCTGCAAACATTCGCTATGCAAAATGCCTCACTATCATTAGCTTGCATTATATGGTCACCTGCCTGAGTCTACAGGTCAGAATTACTCTGGCAAAAGATTACCTTATCCTGTGATTACCCCATTGGATTTCCATTGACTTCATCTATGTAGCCTTTCTAATTCCATTGCTCTTGACCTCTGTTAAATAACCCTTTGTTTTAAAATGCTTAAAAAATCGCACACTGCTTCTCGAGTATGATACCTTTTTATATCTTATGTTACGTCAGAACATTTTGATTTAAAAAAGAATATTTTGAAAGCAACAGTAATAATAAGTCATACAAATGTCTTAAATTTATAGAACATATTCAATACAGAAGGTTCTAGCCCGGCTGAAAGTTTCTTACGACCTGTGCTCATAGCCAAGACATTACACGCACTGCACACAGGGGAGCACACGCATTTGGTTTACATTCCCCACTTAGTCCCTTTGAGGAATTTGAGGACGGACATCAGAGGCATTCTATATTTGCAAAAGTGCAATAATCTGTAAGCTACAGAGCCATGAATAATTTAATTAACTATTATTACAGGGAGAAAATTGCTAGGGAATTCTAGTACACTGAACTCAATTTTCAGTCTTGCCAATTCAAAGATAAAAGCTTTTTCTTCTGTGAAAAGCATAAACAGAATCATCGGGGTCTCTCTGGCACTTCATCTCAAACATTAAGATACCTCTAGAAACTAGGATATAATTCATCACCAAATCATGATGGCCTTGTGGCCACTTCATCCCTCGGGTATGAGAGATGTTAGCTCGTCCGCAGACACAAGCCTCAGAGCTTCTATCAGACGAACCTCAGAGTCAATATATATTTACCGGAAGAGGGAAGTTGATGATTATAGCAAAATTGAAAATTGATTCTAAAATAAGTACAATTATGTCTCTTCGTGCCGTCAACTTATCACCGTCTCTTCTGAGCGAGGCCGTAGGACCTGCGTTCCTGCTCCTGACTGCTGGCTTGTTAGCTCCTGCCCTCATGCTTGTCAAGTATCTATTTCCCCTGTGTTTGCTCTGCCCTTCAGGGTTCGGTCCTGACTGAGTTCGGTCTTGGTGCTGTCATTAAAAGTCACAGTCTATACATTTTCAAATACTCTAGAAAAACCGCTTTTGCTTTACGGTTGTCCCCAGTGCAGGAAGGGGGCGTTTCCTATCATCACATGCAAACCAGAGAGTATGGGCGATCCTTAGTTTCTCTGAACCGTAAAAGGGGAAATGTTCTTTCCTCCAGTTCCACCCATGACCTCTTGGCTTTGCTTCTTATGTGTTTCTCCTCAAGACAGAGACTATGCTCCAAAAACAAAGTCCACATTTTCTGCACACCCAGGATAATCTATGACAGCATTTAGAGCACGTGGTAGGAATGGGACTTCTCAAAGATCTAGTGCTGTTGACGCCTCTCTGATTGGCAAAGATGTCACGTTTGATGACCACAATCTGAAAGACTCTACAGCATTCAAAATGAGAAATCATTTTATTAGGTTCCCATTAAATTGCTACGCATTGTTTCCAGAGACACAGAGATTAAAAATATATGGTCCCTTCCTCTGTTGTAATTGTGCGTTCATCATGCCAGTACACTATGTACTTGAAATTCATACAGCCTTAAAACTTGCTATAAAATTTGATGTATACGTAGCACGTTAAAGTTCTATAGGGAAGAGAAAAGAAGAATGGTTTGTGAGAAAGAGCCAAGCACTAAATTCTCTGGAAAAGTTTTTTTTTTATCTCCCTTTACCTGGCAAAAGAGTCACCTCATTGGTGCCTAAGCTCTGTAAACAGTTTTCACTCTTGGCCAACCACAAAATCATTGTCAGTTATCAAAGGAAGATGTGCATTTATAATGTAGAAGGTGATTAGAGGTGCATGGCCTGCCATAATTTAAGGTATACAGATGGATCATCCCCCCAATTGTTACATATTCAGGTGCTTTGCTGTGAAAAGATGGAGAAACAAAACATGAAATCACAAAATGATTTCCTTGGCTTGGCAGAGCTGCACCTGTGTACTGTGCGAGCGAGTCTCAAAATGCAGGGTAGAAATTCCACGCCTGGAAGCCAAATATCATGGAAACAAGCCCTGTCATGTGAGATGAAGCAACTTCCTAAATCTTACTAGTTTCCATGCCTGCGATCACGTATCTAGACCCCCACTATTTTTAAGAGGACTGAAGAAAAAAAAAATTGTTCATTTACTGTATTTTACTTTTCAATCATTTGAAATCAAAAGAGATTACAGTTACAGTATGGAAAGCACAAAACACTTTAAAATTATTTTAGGTGATTTCTTTTTACAACACTGAACATATGATAAGCAATTTTAAGTAAACCACCTGTCCCAGCAAGTGAAAACACATTCTCGCTTCTTACATATTGTATTCTGTATTTTAACAATGTTAAAAAATGCTGAAAATTAGCTCTGATGTTGCAATTTACATGGAAATGTGTGTTCTTTGTCAGGTTTTTGTTCAGTGGGGCAAATTTAAAGGGGGGAGGATTTCCTCAATTGACAGAATTTTAAGATGGCAATATAGTTATGTTATTTGACTGAAAGACAACGATTTCTAGCCCAATATGAAAGTTTTGTACACACGGTGATTGATGGATGACAATGAAAAATGATATCCACACAGCGCTGTGTCTTTAGAAAGTCAGAAAATGGTTTTATTTATGTGTTGCGGAGTGCCTCAGCTTTGCGTGTTAGCACCACCTGCTGGACAAAATGTCATTTTTTTTTTCTTTACTGTTTAAAACTGCCCCTTCACTCTTTGTATGCAAGTATAATATATCTTAACGGATATTTCATTGTAAAAGTTCTAAAGTTTAAAGACTATTGCAAACAAAATAAAGTTTAAAAATCTGAGATGTTTGCTAAGTACTAATGTCAACTGAAATGCCAGAGTTTTTTAAAACCCTCATAAATACCTACTGACTTGAATAGTATTTTATATTCACATGCAAAAATTGATTTTCTTCCATCTTACTTATTTATCTTATCATTTATATTTTTTCAATAAAGAAGTAAAGAAAACAGGAATTTTTCCATACCCTCATAACAAATGGTTTAAATTATACTGTCTTCCCCAAATGCTGGTAATTACTTTGTAAAGAACACTTTCTGAAGAATGTTCAAACTGTAAATTCGTATCCTGTTGACATTTTATGCAAAACTACAATTAGTATTTTGAATTCTACTGCTATAAAATAAGCCACTTTCAAGTTCATTTCCTTCCTATAAATAAAATTCAATTTTGGTCTGATATACATATATCAGTTCTCAGTTTTTAACAGTTTTCAAAAAATGTTTGGAAGATAAATTTGGTCATATTTTCAAATAAAAAATACAATTATATTTAAAGCTACTTTTGAGAATTTTAAATGTATTAATGTTTGTATAGTTCCACATTCCTAAGAAATACAGTGAAGAAGATAGTGCATCTGCCGATTCAACACTGTCCCTCTGGAATACACTACCCATCCATTTATTCCCTGATAAAGTTGGGGGTCTATAAATTTGAATTGTGTACTTTTCAAAGACACAGTAGCTAAATAAGAGCCGTTAGCATTTATATAGAAAAGATCATCTAGTCTCATATCTTTGGTGTGTCATTTACATAAAACTACAGTGGAAAACCTTTATTAAGGCATGTATCTTGAACTGAAGTTATTATCTTTGTCACTTCAAGAAAACATTTAAAATTTCTCTCTCTCTCTCTTTCTCTCTTCGTTTCCCTTTATTTAAAGGCCTTGGATCGTACACTGTAAATTCAGCATATGGAGACACCATTATTATGCCTTGCCGACTCGATGTACCTCAGAACCTCATGTTTGGCAAATGGAAATATGTAAGTTTGACCTACCTTGGACATAGTTGATTGCCTCTGGATGTTTACGTAAAATTCTTTCTGTAAGTAAATACGAATTTCAAATTAACTTAATGGTAATAGTGAACTGTGAGTATAAACATAGGTAGATAAAATTAATGTGTTGAAGATATCAAAAAATAATTCCTGACTTACATGACAAATGCTATTTTAAAACACAGACAACAAACACATAATTCTTAGATTATATTTGTCTGGATGATTCAACCTTAAGTGTTAGAGGCAGAGAAAAAGACAGTTCCAGAATATAATCAGTGGATTATAGGACAGAGCTCAGTGGAAGATGGCAACCTCTCCCACCTACTCACATTTTTGGTTTGATGAGCCTAATGCCAAGGCCAGATAATGGATCCGTCACCAGAGCCCTTCTGTAGTCATTGGGAATTAGTCATCAGCATTACAAACTTGTTTGTGGTGTTTAGCCATAAAACTGCTCTGATGTTGTAGGGTTTTCACACGTTTAACATGGTCAATTTTGTCCACATTTCTTACAGATAACAAAATTGTATTTTCTCAGATCTGAAGGTGTAGACGGGTCTGAAATGGTGGGCAGAGATTCTGATGGTGGTAGGGAAGCTGTGGCCTTAAAGAAATATTTGGCCTCCCTGGTCCTTAAGTGGGCCTTTTGACTGAATCCAAACGTTACATAACAAATCCTTTTATTAAAAAGGGGGCAGAAGAGAAAGGTGATTTTGACATCAGAAAGGCAAATTTCCCCACCTGTGAATGGCAGTTTACAAGCTTCGAGTAGATATATGTTTCCCTAGACACAATAGCAAAATTTTCTTAGAACCTTGAAATGTTAAAAAGATATTTGCAGAGGGAAAGAATTTAGTGGCCAAATAATTTATGAAAAGTTTCTTTAATGTAACACGTCTCAGAGCCTCTCTTATGTTAGGATGCATTATGAATTATCCAAGGGCCACAAGTTTAACTTATTTCTTAGGTTTATGTGGTGATAGAACTTTTTTCCTCAAATATTTCCAAGAGCAAACATTCTGAAGAATTTCCTCTCTTAAGAAATGTGCTTACACTTGAACTCCAGGGGTAGTCTAACATAATCTTTTAAATGTGGGTTCTGAAGTGAAGTTCAACAATATAGTCGCTGTGGGATTCTGTGCTCATTAATTAACCCCTGTTTTCTCATCTATACAATGAGATAATAATATTTCCCTCATATTGTTGTTGTGAGGGTTGCATTAAGTAACACTCACCTAATACTGGCCACATGCTAGTGGCTTGACCAAGTGAGCTGTTATGTCCGTGGAATTGCAAACTCCTAACCACACTGTTCTTGTGTGATCGAAAAATGAAAAGAAAGGAAGGGGTAAAGCCACCCAGTGCTTCTTCGCATTCTCCTGATATCCAATTCACTTGAGGTAATTTTGAACTAGTTCCAGTTATCTATAAACGTGGCAACTTGAAGTTAAGGCGTTTACTAGCGATCCCAGAATTCCAAGGGCCTGGGCGATTACCACTTTATTCACCTGTTTAATCAAGTTTGCTGCCAAATACATGGAACCCAATGACAAAAACCTCTTGCAATCATAGAAAATTCTAATTGTTAATATAACCCAGGGAGTAATTTTCAGTTAAACTGAACTTGCACAGTGGTGCAGTTGGAACTGCACACTTGGAATCTTACCAAGCTGCAGCTAAAATGGCTGAGCTATGTATGGTATGTCTGTGTTCTCAAGTCAGCCTTGACATGTGGCGATAGTTTGCATGCCTTAATTTAATGTCACCACCTGAAAGGCAAGGTGAAGGTGTGGAAAAAATGAAAGGAAGAAAAAATGCGGAGGGAAGGGCGAGTTTCTCCCTGACCACATTGTAAAATCGCTATGAATGGAAATTACATCTCTCTGTTCACTCCCCTCAGCCCGCCTCCTGCACCGACTCACCAGCATCTGCCACAGTGCCTGGGACATAAGAGGTCTCTAACAGCCATAAAGAGAGGTGCAGGGCAATCATAATGAAACCAGGATGCTGAGCTAAAATTTCTGCTCTGCTGAGATTTACCAGCTAGAACCTTGGGAAGTTATTTAAGCAAACTCTACCTCCGTGGTCTAATCTATAATGAAGTCTAATACAGTAACTTTAATTTAGGGTTGTTAGGAAGGTTAAATCAATTAATTACAGCAGAGGAAGCCTAAAGAAAGCACCTGCCGTAAAGTTAAGTGCTCAAAAATTAATAACGATAATTTATGTCATAAGAGAATGAATACAGAAATTTAAGTTCGTGGTCTAACGTACTTTCCCATAATGAAGGGATGATTTAAGGCAAGGATCCACATTGTAAACCTGTGATAAATCGAAAATATTTAAGAAGAATATTACTGATGCTTTCTGATATTTAAGCAACTAGTTTTTTGAACTCCAAGATAAACTTAGTAAGCAATATTAAGATTACAATTTCTAAAATCTAAGCTCCCATAGACCCTTAACACGTGCCATATACTTTAATGTGTTTACATAGTTTATATTCTCAAACACCTCAAACACCTTATGAGGTAAGGAAAGGAAGGATTGCCCCCAACTTTAGATTTTATTTCTTGTTAGGTAAGAGAATTTTTATGGCACCCAAGGAAGAAATGCATCTTATGTCTCCATGCTGTTGTATATACTAAACTATATCTTGTTTTGATGACCAATTTTTCTATGAAAGCCTTTTGAACTGTGTTTTGTGACTCAGACAGCAAAATTATGGATTGCAATGGTTAATCTGATTCTATTGCTTAAGGGACATGATGGTTTTACGAGGGTAAATACTGCTTCTCCATGAAGACTGATTAAACTATGTCCTGTGAAAGATCAGCTACCTCAGTTTAGGTTGAAAGGTGTAGACATTTAAAGCATGTGGGTTAAAGTACAGAATAGTCCAAAGATATTTACCCAGGATATCTAAACCAGTGTTTGCAGTTCATGTAGTGCTGTGATGGTTATCTGAACATCCTCTGGTATACTTGTAGGGTTGGTTTTATATATATTCTCCATTTTATATTAAACATAATACTATGCATTGTCAGTTTCAAAACAGTCTCTAATTCTGTCCTGCTGGTGCAAGAAAAGCTCAGATTCATACAGTTCTGTCCATTCATTTTTAACACCTTTAAACCAATACCTGTGTAAGAACTTAAGCTTCTCTTCTTATGAGGAGTAATTTTCTGTAACCAAATACAGTAGAACCTCTGTAAGTTGACCACCAAGGCCCTTGTAACAAACTGGTCCACATGCAGCGGTGGTCGATGTAAGGAACGGGACTTACTGTACTGATATGGACACGTGGTGCACATCCAGTCTCTGAATATTAGGTCAACTTAAGGAAGTGGTCAGTGGTGGAAAGTGGTCAACTGTGGAGGCTCTCTATCTTTATGTGAAGCTTTCTTCTTGAACAAAAAGTACAGAGATTGGCCAAGGAAAATTGTTATTCTGGATGTAATCTGGTAACATTGTGAGTATGCTTGCTTTAATGTCTGTTCTTATTTTCATGTTTAGGAAAAGCCTGATGGCTCCCCAGTATTTATTGCCTTCAGATCCTCTACGAAGAAGAGCGTGCAGTTTGACGATGTGCCAGAATACAAAGACAGATTGAGCCTCTCAGAAAACTACACTTTGTCTGTCAGTAATGCAAGGATCAGTGACGAAAGGAGATTTGTGTGCATGCTGGTGACCGAAGACAACGTGTTTGAGGCACCTACAGTTGTCAAGGTGTTCAGTAAGTAGTTCGTGGTGTAACCGCTGTGTGGGAGGACATGCTGGAATTCGGTCTAGAAGAAGAGGACTGATCTCTCCGCAGTGTCTCTGCAGGAGGCGGCTGTGCAGGGAGACTTGGAGAGATCTTCATTTTGCTCACACGTGTTACCAGCAAGGAAAACAAAAATTCTGAAATTTAAACAGGAGATTTGTGATGAGGAACTAAAACAATATTTTCTCTTGTTTTGTCACGTAAAAATTTCCTTTATTAGACAGGCATGGTGGTACAGGATGATCCTTTGAGCCCAGGACTTTGAAGTTGCAGAGAGCTATGGTAACATCACTGCTCTCTAGCCCAGGGGAAAGAGGAGGATTTTGTTTCAAAAAGAAAAAAAAACTTGTTATATTTATTTAAAATACAGTGAAACAGCAACTGTCACCAAAGGAAAAAAAATAAATTAAAAGAGAAATCTCCTGAAGTATAAAGTACTGTTAGCAATAACTAACCTATGATCTGAAGTGGTCTGATGTTGTACCCAATCCGGGGGTCGCACCCCAAAGACCACTCACTAGACGCAAGTCGATGCAAAACGCAAGAGGTGAGTTTATTGCTGACACGTCAGGGTCCCTCAGCCACACGGGGGAAGGACCCCAGGAGGCTGTCCCAGGCTGCTTTTAAGGCTGAAAACCACAGGCAGGTGGGGTGAGGGGGGGTGAGGGGTACTGGGGTATGTGGAGACTGTTGATTGGAAGGTTTAAAACTCGTTTTACTCTGGGTGGGCAACTTTGCCCTGGCTGAGGAATGGGGAAGTTGCTTCACAAGGGTGGGGTAGGTGGGGTAGGGAGTAGGGAGTGTCGCCTTGGCGGGAAGCCAAAGATTTTCCATGGGTGGTTGTTTTTCTTGAAACTGCTAGTGCTAAGAGAAAAATGGTGACCTACTCGTCAGGTTTCAGAGGGTCTCTCACTGACATTTACAAATTTATGTTGTCTAATAAATACATAGTTACATGATACATATATTATCACGCTTGTCATAGGTATACATACATATGTTAGACTGAACCACGGGAAATCGCCATTTTGATATATAAAACAATACAATGTGGGCAAATTCAAACTGTCTTGTAACTTAAACATCTAAGCTTTTTATATGCATATTCATAGATATAGTGACATCTTAAACAGCTGTATCTCCATCCTGACCTTTAATGCTTATTGATTTAGATTTCAAAGTATTTGCTTAGATTAGAAAATTATCCTAAAAAGCTAACCCAGCCCTTGAACGTGTCCATGAGAGACACCAAGGGAGGAGAGGAGAGTAGGGATGGAAGGAGAGAAAACTATGGTCCAAACAAGGAGAATTTACTGTAGTTTCTATGGCAAAGTGACTCTGCCTATTAATATACTGTGCGAATAGCTATGCAAATGAATAGCTTCAGCTATAATTAAGGTATTTCATCTGTTAAAATTCAAATAGAAACAGTTACATTACAATATTTTAAGAATTATAGGAGAAAAAAAAAAAAACAGGTCTTGAAAGTTTCAGAAAGCCAGCCTTTTTTAATTAGGGGAGCAGGTCTCACTTTTCATCTGCTTTCTGATAACTTGACAGCACCTAGAAATTATTAAAATAAGTAGGGAATACAGGAACCCAGAGGGGCTTCCAACTACATCCAGTTACCTAGGATTTTGCCTGTTCCTCTTATATGCACCTAAGGAAGCCGGTCTGTCCCTTAAGTATTTACATGGACTTCAAAGATCCTGTGGGCTCATGATACAGATTCCAAGAGTGCTTATCCTAGCAAAGGAAACCTTTGTTCTTAGAAGAACCTTGTAAGAACATGTTACATGTTCTCAGCTGATTACCTTTCAGCTTAGAAGGCATTTTCCAGAAACCATTCACATTTCTCCATCATTTTATGAATCGAACCAAATAGCAAGCGTTTGCAGTCATGCCCATTTCCATAAAACACATCGAATAATCTGCTTCTTGTACTTACCAATGATCTATGTAATTTTTCTTGTCTTTCTTTGATTTCGCTTCCATGTTATTAGGAAGGTGGATGTACACTGCTTAGCATGCCTTTTTGAAAGGACAGCAACTAAACATTTTTGAGGATAGGTGAAGATGGCTTAAATAGAACCAGACATCACTATTATACCATCATAGGTAGAAAGATTAAGTTAAAGCACCTTCAAGGATATTTGTATCCATTTGTCATTGTGATGTTTCTTTTTCACTGTGTTAAAATTACCAAATATCAAAATAGACCATGAGGAATTTGAGAAAATTCAAGGTGTTCCCTTTAGAATATCGGTGGTAGCATTACTCAGATTATCCTTTAAAAAAATAAAATGCCATACAGAGACCTGAAAAAAAATTACACATAATCTAATTTAATAAATGCGTAAGCCATTTTGGAATACGGAGAATGTCGGTGGTGGGGAAAACAAACTCACACCCACATACCCGCCGGCACCCCCTGCCCTCCTCTCTTTTGAATGTGGTTGAAAACAAAGTGATTCTCAGAAGCGGAATTTGCATTCCAGGCTGTGGGCCAGGGAGAATTTACATAGACAAGTTACACATCCTTGAAAATGGTGTTTGGTAAGAAACTGCGAGCCCCTCCCAATGCAGGGAAATGAACAGCATAGTTAGTCATAAAGACACTGTTTACAGGGGCATATAGGGGCTTTGCCCTTTTTTCTAATGAATTTACTTTGGGTCACTTTCTGTGAAGCAAAAAGCAGCTGTGACAGGCAGACTTTTATTCTCTGCATGTATGGATTGCAGTCACTCGAGAGTCACTAAGCTCGTCAATCCGTCCTCTGTTTCCCTCTGTTGAGTCACCTAGCAACGTCCACCCAGGACGGCAGGACTGAGCGTGGTCGGGGGGGCCAATCTCAGATCTGCCTGCGGCTTGTTACCAGCCTGGTGGCAAAGGCCAACTGCCATTCTTCACCCTAGATCCCGAGACTTGTGACTTGATTTCCCTTCCTATAGGTTTGTTTGTGTAGTTTCAGGCCATATCCCAGATACAAGAACTCAGGCCTAGAAACTAGCCCACATCCAGATCAGTGGCCGGCTTTCTCCCCACGAAGCAGCTGTGTGTGGGTGGGGGTGTCTCTGTGTGTGTGCAGCTGAATTGCACCAAAATCAAAGTGTGTGTGTGTGTAACGCATACTTAGGGTTAATAAAACCATTCAGAAGCAAGTGTGGACCTTGAAAAGATCCCACATACTCATACTTGTCCAAAAGGCGCAGAGGTCAAATGGGTCCCCAGAGAGCCAGATGGCCAGGGGTGGTGAATGGAAAATCGCTGAGCTGCTCACCAGAAGACCTTGATTTGTCAGATCTGCTTGTCACTTCTGACCCTGGGCAAGTCATTCACCAGTCTGGGGTGAAGATTCCCTCTTTATGACTAACATGAACACTTGGGATTAGACAGGAAGCTTTCCCACCTTCTTCAGGACCTAATGAGGCGGGATGAGGAGGTGAGGTGCTGCTTCTACTTGATTAACTAGAATTCTTTCCATTCCATATTTCAAAGCTTTTCACGGTAATGTGTTAATGGGAGGGGTGGTGGAGTAGGGAAGCTCCAGCTCTAATAAAGTGTGTGGAACCGCAATCCGTGTGAATCTGCCAGATCTTCTGCTCCAGTGGGGCTCTGTGGTAGGGCAGGAGGGCTGTCCCCGGATACAGGAGCTGATGGGCCTGAGTGCCCATTCTCCTCAAGGTCAGGTCATGGGCTGTGCCTGTCGGCTTCACACAGAGATGTCTCCGAGCTTTTACGTGGCTACCTTTCGTTTGGGTACTCATGCTTTATCAGACTGCCAATCTCTCCTCCCACCCCCCTCCTCAAAGTCTGTAGCCCAAAAGCAAATTCAGGGGGAGGGGCAGGGGGAAGAGGAAGAAACAGAACATGACTGTTTCACAAATGAAAACTATACGTCTTTCATTTTGATTCTTTCACTATAGGAAATACTGTTTTCTCATCTCATGCGGAGAGAGAGAAATATACCATGGCTCCATGGACACAATAGTTTATGTAAATACCTCATGGTTTGGGAGGGGTGGATGCTGACAGAGCCCTGAGGAAAGCGCTGGGAGTCAACATAACCCGGGTGGTTCTGCTTCTCCTCGCTCTTCTCTCTTATCCAGCTGAGCTACCCTCCTTGTCTGTGTGTGGCTTTGTTTGCTTGTTTTGAGACAGACTTGCTCTGTCTCCAGCCAGACTAGAGTGCAGTGATGGGATTCTTAGCTCACCGCAGCCTCGAACTCCTGCTAGCTGGGACTACAGGTGTGTGCCACTAAGCATGGCTAATTTTTCTTACTTTTTCTAGAGACAGGGTCTCACTATGTCCCGCAGGCTCTGTCTGTGGCTTTTGATGGTAATATAGTACCCTGTGTGTTATGTAAAGCGTCTTTGACTTCATTACACTGGCTGTGAGATGGCAAAAAATACAGCTTTTACTTGGTAGTTGATTTTTAGTTTCTCGGAAGGGTCATGTTCATAGCACTCACTAATAATGGGTATGGTGTTAGAGCAAAAGGAGATGCCTAGTTTAGTATATTTCTCCCTAAACACGCCCAATCCCTTTACCACAGTTTCTTTCTTCCCCAGTCTAAGAATCTTCCACATAATCCCCTAGCTAAATAAAACAAAAAGCAAAGTAGAGAGGAAAGTAAAGTGATTTATAAAATGTTTCAAGTTGCACTAAATATTAAATGTAGCTTAGCCTTTAATTATATATGATAAAACCCTAGGGATATTAGTGAAAACTCTACCATTTATTTTGTTAAGAAAGAAATTCATTTACGCCTTAACATGGTATGCCATTTGTATAGACACTGGCACAAGCTGCCCTGAATGTCAGCCCCTCCCCCCAGTATAAACACCCACCCCTGGAAAGTAACAGCAACATTATTTTTACTCTTCCTATTTTATAATTTTAACCTGGTATACTGTGGCCTTATAATAATATAGCTCCTACTACTGCAATTACAACAGGCAAGTCAGCAAAAAGGAGGGAAATGAACGAAAGCACGGCTCTCCCACTTGATAAATATTCAGTTGAGTGATTTAAGGAAACAGTCAAGAATGTCCAAAAGAAAAATTGGGCTTAAATTAATGCTCTTGACTAAAGTACTTTAATAATGTATGTAAATTTGTGACATTTCTTTTCCTTTCAATTGGTTACGAATCCTTGAATCCTATTAAGATATAATTCATATAAATTTTTAAAAAAACACTTTAGAATCAATAGGCAATTTTGCTAAAATAGTAGATGTCCACTTTCATAGCCCTTGAACTAATGGCCATGAATTGTTACAACGTAATAGAAAATTACATACAAAATATGTAGTTAACATAGAGGGTTTGAAACAAAAGTTTAAGGAGAAGAGAACTCAAGCAAATGGAATAGATATTATCATCATGTTCAATACTCCCTCTTACTCTTTCTCTTTCCAATAGAAAGATAAGTCGTTATGTAAAGAGGACTGAACTTTAATCATCCTTTTACTGAGTATCCTGGGTTTGCTATAGTTTTATTTCACATAAAACACTTGTGGAAACGAAATACACCTGACCACATGTATAGTCCAAGGGTTTATGGTTGTGTGTGCATTGATAAAATGCAGGATTTACAAAGCAATAGAAGTGTACAGTTGATATCAGAGGAAGTGAACGTGTGCCCAGCTATTTTGATATCTCACTTCAGTGAACTGCAAAGTAGTGAAACTTGGCAAAGCTTCTCATCAACTCTTTGTATTTAGAACCTGAATTTATTTAGGAAATTATCAAATATCTTCACATATTTCAGACATAATACTATTGGAGGAGAAACTAAGCACTATTTGTCCTTTTTTCCCTGTTATTTTTAACTCTTGGACATGTAAATGAGTTTAATATCTTATGTCTATTGAGCTTTCAGAGAGGATGTCACCGAAACTAATTTTAGTTTCCAAAAATTTGGCTGACTTACATAAGCTCCAAGAATTTTTCTTTTATTTAAGTATTTTGATGCCTTTCTCTTTCAAATGTATTAGATATTGCCTTGTAGAAAAAGAGATTCCAAATAGAATTCAATATTTTATCAATAATTCGTTGATAAGCAAAAAGATGTGGGATTATGTTGACTCAAACATCAAATAGTTTATAAGCATTATAACAGTGTCAAAATCAAGGTTTACTGACAACATTGAAGACTTTAACCCCACACACCATAAGTTTCCCAGAAACTGGT